TTCTCGCCTCTCAAGAAGGTATTTACCGATTGTAGTGATCGAAACACGGTCTAACAAAGCTTTGGCTAGGTATCAATCACGTGCAAGCGGAGTTTCCAGATCTTCAGGTACTACTCACGTCATATCCCTAGACAAACCGTTGATTGCCTTTTCAGATCTATGTAGCAGCCATAGACTCTGAGCTTACCGACAGAGGTTATCTCTGCCCTGGTTTGGGAGACGCTGTATGTACACTCTTCTGTTGCAGGACTATAGCTGACGTATTTGTAGGGTGACCGACTGAATAACACCTTCCACTTCCATTGAGCAAACATTTTCGCGTTCGCTAAGTCTTGCAGGGCTGATAATTCGCGAGATTAGATTGAGTCCATTGTAAAATAATCACATGCAGTCTTGATAGAACCCTCGTGCATTACCAAGATTTTTTTTCTGAATAATAGACGTAAATGATTGGTATCCGAGGGCTCGCCATTCGTTGTCGGCAAAGTCGTATCGGCTGCTCCGAATGAGCCTCCGAACCCAAGATATGGCGTGCTCGACTTTTTCTTTGGTCCCTACCACACCTGTAAGCATTATAAAATTTTCATTTGGACTCGACTTGATCAGCTAAACTCTTATCATCGCAGGGTTAGCGTCGAACAAGCCCATCTGGGTCTATCCACTCGAACGAAATCCCTACATTCAATAATGTCTGGAAACTCGACCCCCCTCTCGCAAGTCTCTACGCTCGTCAACTGGCAGGATGTCAAAGAGCTTACACTAAACAAGTCCTCGGAAACCATCCTGCCCGCCTCAGCCGTGCTCGAATACTATTCATCGAAAAGCAGCTCTGCGGTTTTCCTTTACGATGTCGCTCGCGAGGCCGGATTTGGAACTACATTAAGGGAACTGAGCAAGTCACAGGATGGTGGTCATTACGCCAAGGTTTTTGAGCTGCAGAGCCGTACCGGTGCTGGTCTCAGTCTCTTAGGAAGACTCTCAGAAGGGACAAGCTCAGACGGCTCGCATTCATCTACCGCATTAACAGCGTATACTACACCATCTGGATTAGCTCTCATGGCTCCAACGCTCGCTCTTTGCCCGCCGCCCTCGACGAATGGTCGCTTGGTCATACAGGTTCCGAGCATCACCCATGTCGGATCTGATATGTCAGTATCGCCAACGCTTTCCCAGTTGACTTCTTTCTTTACTTCATCACCCGAACACTTTGCCGTAATATTGTCAGCCACTCCCCAAGAGGTGGTCGACTTTGCGGCTGTCTCCTATGCGACTCCCAAGTCCCACATCGTCCACATATTTGACCATTGGAGCGCTGCTCGCGAAACCTCAAAGAAACGAGCACCTACTCTACCACTCCAAGCACCAGTATCGGATATTCACACTGCGCTGCATAAATTAGGGCATTCGTTCTTCGAGTATGCAGGCGACTCCAACGCTACCAACGTTGTGCTGGTCTTGAATGGCCCCCTCGCGTTATCAATTAAGCACTTGGCATCGGTTATTCCTTCCTTTGGTGTGGTCATCGTAAAGGTACTGCGCCCATGGGATGAGAATGCACTCCGCAAAGCCATACCAACATCCACGACCTCTCTCTATGTCATTGACGACGTGATTTCTTCGAGGTCATTCACCCCACTTTACCATGATACCTTGGGACTTTTAGCACATGCATCGCCTAAAACACCCAAGATTCTCAGCCATAAGCTTGATACTCTTACCCTTGGCCAACTGCTTGCATCAGGCCAGTCACTCGTCGGGTATCTCAGTAGCATCATTTCACTAGACTGGTTCGCACCGCCCAAAATTCCGACTCTTGAAGGCAAGAAAGTCACCTTCTATTCAAGCCCCTCTTCACCTCTGCACGAGGCACCCGCTACCACATCACAACTATTCCTTAACCACCCTAGTATCGATGCCCATTATATACAAAACTTTGATGCGTTTTCTAAACCTGGTGGTGTCATACAGAGCAATTTGCTCCTCAATGTGGCGCCTGCCACCACGTACAGTCCCCCCGCACTGTTCCACAGAGGCCAAGGTCCCGAAACAGATGCATTGGTCATTCTCGATGCCTCATTACTCAAGACTCATGACATATTATCCGAATTGAAAGAGGGTGCTCCTGTCCTGATTACGACATCGTGGACAGTTGAGGAACTGATAGCGAACATGTCTGTTCTCAACCTAGAAACGGCTATTTTGAAGAAGCCACAAGTGCTTATAATCGATATCGAAAAGGTGGCCAACGATCTGAATGCTTCTGAATCGGCTATCGCGATTACCACTTCTGCATTCCTCCGTCTCTATCTTGGCTCTATTGCTACCCCCGAATTAATCACAAATCTCAGTACACCTTTCTTTGGCAAGGAAGTCAGTGGTGTGGAAACCCGCCAAATCTCAAAAGCATCCTGGGATGCACTATCATCTGTACCTCTTCCGACCGAGGTCCCAACAGAAGAAAAAATAACGCCGCTCAAACAGTTCCAATTCAACTCCATCGTTCCCGATGCACCCGCCCCTCCAAAGGCTATTACTGCACAGGCTAGTCTCTGGACTGAGGCTGCAAAGCAGATTGTCTTCAAAGAAGCCTTCTCTCCTGCTCTACCGCAGGTTAAAGGAACACAGTACCCAAGAAATCCGGCGCTCCGACCCGATGTACCAGAGGAAACCTACCTTGTTACTTGCACTGTCAATCGCAGGTTGACACCACTCGAGTACAATCGCAACGTCTTCCATCTTGAGTTTGACACCCGAGGAACAGGTCTCAAATACGAGATTGGAGAGGCTTTGGGTGTGCATGGGTGGAATGATGCTGATGAGGTGCTGCACTTCTGTTCGTGGTATGGTCTCAACCCCAAGGACGTCATCTCCATTCCTTTACCAGGAGACTCGAGTAAGCGACACGTCAGGACTATCTTCCAAGCCTTCCAACAACAGATCGACCTCTTTGGCAAGCCACCAAAGAGTTTCTACGAGGCTTTATCCGGTTTCGCCACGGCGAGAGAAGATCGAATGGCCCTGCGATTCATTTCTGCTGCAGAGGGCTCAAG